ATAGATAGATAGATAGATAGATAGATAGATAGATAGATAGATAGATAAAATAAAATTGAAGTAAGCCTGCCTTATGGTCCCATTTAATATTCTCAGGTTTAGAGGATGGCCAACATGTCCCCTCTCCCTTCCCCTAAATGGGATGCTCAAGATCCAGGCATCTATGGCTGGAGAGAGGCAGGACATCTTGCTATCCATTAAGGAAGTGGCCAGGGCCCCCATGCAGACTCTCCTTGAGGACAGTAGCTTGGAAACTCCATGCATACGATGTCAAGTTCATTCGGAGACAGGGTTCTCAACCGCGAGAAAGCAATCAGTAACAACAAAGAGGTCTTGATGAAAGAGATTCCTGAGAGCTAGTCCCAACGTTTCTAACTCAGTCATGGAGCAGAGATGAGAATCTTCCCTCCTGACAGTTTGCCAGATGACAAGGACATTCAGGGAACCCATTGCTAAGAAGAGTGCAGTTAAATACTTGACTGATAGAAATAAAGACAATTAAAAATCCAGGAAAGCAAGGTTAAAATAATTAGGATGGGTCCTTATCACTACAGACACCTGTGACCTGGAGATTGTAGGTGCCTCAGCCAGGTACCTGCCATTCATGAGGTTACAATGCATGAATGAGGGTGGGAAAACCATGGCCCACCCTCTTCTGTGAATGGCAGAAAAGCCTCCTGTCCTCTCCTAAAGAAATACATTCAGTTAATTAGATCTTGAGACTTCTTTTTCCTTTCCGTTGCACAACTAGAATTCTGTTTTCCCTACCAGTCTCTTCGATTTCCTAGGTCATCAATTACCAATTGATATTGTCAATTATCAATTACATTTTTCTATAGAAGCCAACTAATTGGCAGTTCATATTGACTGAAGGAAAAGATTCATGTATGACGATAGAATATATCAGGTATATAAAAGTACATATTAAATCTACTACTTACAAGTATTTTTCTCCTTGTTTTTCTGTAGGCAGGTAATTTTTTTTTTAGAGTTGATTTGTATGTGCCAGAGTAACTAGACTAGATAGGATAAAAGTTCCCTAACTCAGTGATGTGCTTCATTCTTTACAAAAGAAACATCATTCTGATACCAGCATAAAGACATACAATGGACATCAACATCTTTTGCTTTTGTTCTTTGATTTTGATTTTTCAAGACACAGTTTCACTGTATTGCCTTGATTCTCTTGGAACTCACTCTGTAGACCAGGCTGGCCTTGAACTCAGAGATCCACCTGCCTCTCCCTTCTGAGTGCTGGGAATAAAGGTGTGCACTGTGATTGCCAGACATCTGGACATTAATATTCTTATACAAGTCTTGAATGCTATTTCATGGATGCAAAGCTTAGAACCACATGTAGGAAATGGTATGCATTCAATCATAACATATGAGATAGGGTGCACACAGGAGAGCCAGGTATCAATATGCATTCAACCCAAATCAATCTCTCTCCCTCTCCCTCTGTCTCTCTGTCTCTGTCTCTCTGTCTCTGTCTCTCTCTGCTCTTGCTCTCTCTCTCTCTCTCTCTCTCTCTCTCTCTCTCTCTCTCTCTCTCTCACACACACACACACACACACACACACACACAAGCTGAACCTAAAATATACCAATGTTAGGCCCCCCACTTCCCATCTACAACTATGGCAGTTTCATATTTTATTATCGTGGAAAAGGGGGAGAGTTGACCAACTTCACCTTTTCCACAAGTAAAATGCCTAACTTCCTAAAACTGATTTAAAAAAAAAAAAAGTGGTACTTCTATGTCATTTGACATTTCTTCTATGATTTTTTTCTATTCATTTTTATTGAAATACTGCCACGATGTCATGCAGATCATGGGTTTGGGTGTCCAAGGTTCAAAGAACAGAAAATAGTTTGCTATCCATCAACTATCCTCTTTTGCTCTTCCCAGGGCTGTGTCTGCAAAGGCAAAGGGCAATGCCTCTGCGTGGGGACCAAAGGGGAGAAGGTAAGACGAGAACTTCCTGCTGCCTCTCACAGATGCCTGAGTCTGTCACACTTTGCCCTTCTGTAGCATAGATCATCATCCAATCCCCTAAATCCACCTTTAAAGTAATTGTATGTAAACATTAACCTTAAACAATGTTGAAAGCCTTCTAGGAAACCTTCAGCGTCTCCGGCTACCTTGTGTAAATACTGGCAGTTCAGACTCTTGGCTGAATAAGTAGCAAGTTGGCAGAAAAAGAACATTTTTATGAAGCCTCCCTAGCATACACTATATTTATAATGTTGCTAAACATGATAGAAGAAATTAAAACAACTTGATTCTCTCGCGTCGATGTAAACATTGAAACCCCCGCAGACGCTGTTCCGCAGCACTGGAACAAGACTGCCCCCTGGTGGCGATATCAGCAGCAGCCCTCTCGTTGAAACAAAAATTCAAAGCTCCATTCCAGAATTCAAGGAAAAAGAATGCTGTGAAATCTCATCAGTTCGCTCCATTAACTCGCAACTTAACGACAATTAAGACAGGGGTAGAGCTAAAGTACTTTTTTGTTTGTTGTAGAACCCCTTTTTTTCGTCGGAGATATTAATTAATCGTTCAACAATATTGAAAAGTAACTATTAAAATACTTCAAAGAAAGCACATTTTGAGCCATCTAAATAAGACGTTTATATATACTTATATGATGATTACAATACTTATTTTACCTATAGATAAATACATGTATAATTTATTTGCACTAGTGTCCCCCTCCTCACCTAAGCTATGAATAAATGTAGCATGTTCATATTTACTCTGAATGTTTCTCTTTGTACTTGAACTTGTATTCAGGCAAATGTTGAGTCTCAGTTGTATGCATGATGCAATTTTAAAACATGAGAGTAACTGAGTGGTAAGAAGGCTCTAGTAAATATTTTTTTTTCTGTTTATCGGGTGTGCTTGAATGTACTCAAGTGTAAAGTAGCAGACATTTCATCTTTTCTGTTGGTTTATTATTTATTATCTGTTTATCATCTGTCTATTTATTGATTGTATTTGCCAGTTGTAACAAACTTGATCAAACTAACTAGTGGCCTTGACTGTCGAAGACTATTTCCAGTATTCTGGTTTAAGGGAAGGTTTTTTGTTGGTGAAATTGTATTTCACTCACTTCTACTGGGTGCTTCCCCACCTACAAGACCATTTCTCTCAGACTTTGTGCTATGCTGCCCTTGGTGCCTCTCCTGAGACTCCTATCAAAGTAGCTGGTTGAGGGACTCATTCCCTCACAACAAGAACACTCGGGAGTTCACACCTCCATTATATTCCGTTTTCCTCCCATCATTACTAAGAGCTCAAAATACATCCTTCCTCCTCACCCTCACCGTCTCCACCCCTTAATAAAAACATTCCACTAATCTTAACTTTCTATCAAGACTGCCCTTTTTCAATCCTTGGCCCCTTTCCCTCTAACCTCTATCCTGAGTAGGTCTACTGTCTGGGGAAAGTCTCTAAAGGACATGGGCATCATTCTGAAGCCTATGGACATACATTGGTAGACGGTGACTACCTTTGGAGCTGAGTGATAACTAGTGACCCCTTGATGCAAGGAAAGGGCATCACTGAGAGGAGAAGGCTGTGCTGTGGCGGTGCGTGTTGCTGGATAGCTGTCGCTTGCTTCCTCATTCTTTTTTATTTTAACAGGGGGAGAAAGGCTTTCCTGGGCCCCCTGGATCTCCTGGCCAGAAAGGATTTCCAGGACCTGAAGGCTTGCCTGGACCACAGGGACCCAAGGTATGTCAGCCAGCAAGCTTGGTAAATCCTCTGCCCACCAAACCCATCTCTGTGCCCCTGAGACTGTAGAGAGAATCCCCCACCTGGAGGATATAAAACAAATTCTCGCTTTCCTGTCTTAGCTGAGCTTTCACCCAGCTCACCCACCCAGGCCCTGGGAAGTTTCTGCCTATAAATCTACCCAGGTTTCTCTTACATGGAAGGAAGAGGTCTTTTCCACTTTCACCAAAGACCTGGCCTTCCACCTCTGCCCCGACCATTGGGATTCTTATATGACCTTACTGCAGGAGCATCTCCTTTCTAAGGGATCTTGGAACTCTGCTTTTGGTGTAGACTTTCCTATCTCAGTGCTGAAATATACAAATTTTGCTATGCTTGCATACAACATCATCTAGATTTTTGTAGAGGTCCCCGAACCAAAAGATTTTCATCTTCTCCTTGTATTTTCTTTAAGTTAGGTTCTTGAAGGAATAGTTAGTGTGGTACCTGGGGGTCTCCCACTCTTCTCCCCTTAGCCAGAGCCACTTTGCCTTTGGCTTTATTCCATGAAAGTGTTCCTGCAAACTTCACCAGTGACCTCCAAACGACCACAGTGAAGGGTACTTTTGGGTCCTTTACCTGACATAAACTTTTGCTTTACTTCAAATTGTGTGGGTCTGGAAATATCTGTCTGCCTTTGGTTTTGGAAGTCCCCTTCCCTGATTCTATTCCTGTCTCCCCATCCACCCGTTCCTTTGTGGGGTCTATTGAGCATCAGGCTCCCATGGTTTGTAGAAGGGCCTGCAAGCCTTCACACTTGTCATGTATATTTATCCTAAAGGCTGTGATACTCAAAGGCCCTTGCTTCAATAAATACCCAAGAGGATTTACTAAATAACCACTAGGTCTGCCTAGTGTTCCTTCCTACTGGGGACATTAGCTAGCCAGACACCTGGGCTGTCAGGCACACAAACTCACTCCCCTGACTACTGGCCTCCAACAATCTGTGAACTAATAAGCTATAAACGATAATTATAATTGATCTCTGTGGAGTCGTTTAAAGTCCCATACTGTATTGGCATATACATTAGAATAATGCAGAGAACACTCTTTATTTTCTCCCTGCCAAGCGCTGGCTCAATCATTCTTCCTTGTATTTCATTTTCCCTACACTTTGACCCTGTGTGGCCAGTACACAAAACTCAAGAGGACCCTTCTATTTACCACTTTATTGTAAAAGATACACATGAACAGACAGGAACACAGGATGCTCTGAAGGTGCTAATACAGGCACCTCCATCCCCTGCAAGTGAAGTGTCTCACTCTCCAGGCACATGGATGCCCATCAACCCAGAGTTCTCTATAGTCACCTTAAAGCTTGGGGTTCTTTCAGCGGCTTCCTCTAGGAGACAGGATCCACTCCTAAGCCAGCCTCTGGCTCCCCTCCTCCTTAGACCATCGGGTTGCTGCTGGAGTTTCCAGGCGTCTAGTCATGGCTTGAGCTTTCTGGTGACCAGCTGCTCCCTAGTTAAGAGCCCATCAAAAATCTCTTCATCAAAAGATGTATCTCTTGACATGATGAGGAATTCCAAGGGATTTGGGAACTCCATAGGAGTCAAATATTAGGACAAGAGAAAATCCTTGTGCCCTGATCTCTCTGGAAGAATGAAGGGGCTTGGGAGGAATAAACGAAGCTCTGAAGACAGAACCAAGAATCTGTTTAGAACGCCACAGTAACTAAACCTGTACTTGGGGTTTACACAGCAAGTCTGATTCCCAGGGGTAATCCATCTCTGTCTATCTCATCCACAGCAACGCCCTCTCTCTTCTTCTCTTCTTCTGACGCTAACTTCGAAACAGCTAGGATAGGGAGATGGCTCAGATGGTAAAGTGTGCTTACTACACAAGCATGAGGGCCTGAGTTCAGATCCCCAGCACCTATGCAAAAGCCAGGCACAGCACTGCACCTCTGTAACGCCGGGGATGGGAACAGAGAGACGGGGGAGTCCTGGAGCTCACTGCCAGCCAGCCTGAGGCAATAAACTCCCAATTCAGTAAGAGACTCCATTTGAAAACACAAGGTGGAGAGCGATAGAGGAAGACGCCCACTGCCAAATCTGGCACACATACACACATGCACACATACACAAAACACACATGTATACTCACACGCACACATACATACTTTTAAAATTCAGACTGTGGGCTGAAACTGAACTTTCAATTTTCCATTGACTACTTTCAGGGATTGGGCTTGGATTTCCCTTCATTTCAATGGTAAAGGATTTCTGACACGGGAAACCTGCAGGTAGATTAGCTGAGGACTCTTTTTAAAAAAAAACAAACAAACAAACAAAAAAAACAGGGTTTCTCTATGTCCTGGAACTCACAGAGATCTGGCTACCTCTGCCTCCCAAGTGCTGGGACTAAAAGGCATGAGCCACCAACGCCCAGCAAGGACTCCTCTTTCGTTTTACTCTCCATACCTGATTCTGCTCGCTTGCCTTCAGCACCTCTTCAGAAATACCAGTTACAATGATGACTGTCATCACGGTGGTGCTTCATGTGGATCGCACGATGTACAAATATTCCATAAAACCAACGCAGAAAACACCTGTTACGTCGTGAAATCTTATTTTCAGGCATAGCTTATAGATACAGCCCCAAAGGAGTATCTGACCAATGGCAAAACACAGAGACCATTAAAAACTTGACAAAATATTTTTCAGATTTATAAGCTTCTGTTCTACATGATATTTTCTGCAGGAGAAGATTTACGACGGGGAAGTAAATCCTGAAAACCTGTCTTCTTGTCTGCCCTCTGCATAACAGAAAACAGCTCCCACAGGGGGTGGGGGCGGGGAGCGTGGGTGGGGGGTAGACAGCCTTGAACATGACCTTGCGCCCAGGAATTCCACCTCAGAAGGGAATGGCTCACTTTGGCCTTGACAGTCCAATCTCAGAAGACTCTGTAACAGCCTTTCCAAAAGAAAAGGAAAAAAACCTGAAACTGTGGAATGACGACGAAAATAGCTTCTGAACAATGGTTCTTTCACAGCAAACAGCTTAGTTAAAATATTTTCCATGTAAGGTTGTTCGCTACAAAAGGGGGCCTCAAACCAAGATTCATTGCGTGCTGGAAGCAGTATCATCTCTGGTGCAGGCTGTCCTCCCTCTGTTATTTACTCGTCTGTGTCCGGCACATCTTGTTATGAGCTGCTTCTTCGACACAGAATCTCCAGTCCCCTTTGCTATTGTAACTGGCCTTCTTTCTTATCAGACCTCAGCAGCTGCTTGGCTAATGTGGGTCTTTTACAGGCTCACGGCACTTTCCAATGTAGGAGAACCCCAACAGAATCCTGTGGAATGGAGATTGTGTATCAATATGCCTGGAAGGAGGAGATGGGGTGGGGATGTTTGAGACATCTGTACTTGCAGCAAGCTCCCAGGTTGATGCTAACAGGTCACTGCTCACTGGTCCCTGCTCCCACTTTAAGTAGCAAAGGTTTCCATGCAGTTTTGTTTATCCCTTGATTAGAAGCAGCAAGTGATCAAACTTTATCAACAACAAAATAATCGTGAGAGCAACATGGTTCAGCGTGGAGACAACTGGGTCCAACTGGTTTTTACTGTACTGACTTTTCCTTTTTCCACTTGGATCTAGGGCTCCCCAGGACTTCTAGGACTCACTGGCCCCAAAGGCATCAGGGTTAGTATTCAACCCATCCATTCTGATTGTTGGCTGAATGCTCTTCTTCTAATGGTAAACATTATTCAAATGTCAGGGAAGAGTAAGTACATCATGTCCGGCTTCACAGAAAGAGTTTGAGAACAGGAAAACTCACCCACTGGCTGCGGCCACAATAATGGTCACTACCTGAGAGACAGTTGTGAACTGAGGGGAGACGTGTGCAAGAGAACTGTAGGGGGAAGGGGATGCGGCTCCTGATCAAGGTGGGAGTACTTATGAAGTGATATACATATGCCAGTCATGATGGTAGCATCCCAACACTCTAGTGACAAGGCAGGAGGATTGGAAGTTAGGGACAGCATGAATCGAAGAGAGGAAGGAAGGAAGGAAGGAAGGAAGGAAGGAAGGAAGGGAGGGAGGGAGGGAGGGAGGGAGGGAGGAAGGATATAGAGATAGATAGATAGATAGATAGATAGATAGATAGATAGATAGATAGATATAGATACAGATATATATTCCCCATGCTTTTAACAGAAGACATAAACATTTTCATACATGCAAAATATACACTAAAAATTAATTTCAGACAGGTGTGATGACTCACTCCTGCAACCTCAGCACTCAAGAGGCTGAAGCAGGAGGATTTCTATAAGCTCAAAATTGGGCTGCCTAGTGATAGTTCCAGGCTAGCCTGGGCTGTAGAGTGAGACCTTGTCTGAAAGAACAAATAGTAAAGAATCTCCGACAATCAAAGCAACCCCTTTTTAAAGGTTTTATAAAGTAAAACTTTCCACAGAGGGAGTACTTGAGGTGCTAGTCTGATTACCTGAGTGCAATACTAAGAACTTAATATTTATATATTAGGAGATATATGGAGAGAGAGAGAGAGAGAGAGAGAGAGAGAGAGAGAGAGAGAGAGAGAGAGAAGAGATGGGCTGGTAACCTGGAGTGTACTGCATGGCAGAAATATCGAAAGATGTCTTGCCTCAACAGGTGAAGAAATAGAACAAACCCTCAAAAAGTTGTTCTCTGACCTCCACAAGTATACCGTAGCATGTATGTCACAAACAGCACACATATGCACACAGACATGTACATAGATACACCATACAGGAACACACTCATGCATGCATACACATGCACACACATACACAGACACACACACTCACCCGTTCTAGAAGTAGAAAGCAGGGGCACAAAAGCCATAAGCTCCAACCCAGCCTAGGATATATAGATGGTGCATTTGAGAACAGCCTAGGTGATATACATAGCAAGGCTGATTCTCACAAAACAAAACAAAAAATTTTAAAAGTTGTGTAAAGGCAAGATCTACAAAGATTTGTCAAGCCTTTTCTGTTTGTTTTTCTCATCATTTTTAATATACTCAGTACATGCTTGCAAACAAATGAGTACTGACATGGCAAATAATTCCATTTATAGGATGAACATTTTAATTGCTTTTCTCTCTACCCTCTTCTTATTTTATTTACATTTAGGGAATAACTGGATTACCAGGGTTTGCAGGTCCTCCTGGACTTCCAGTAAGTAATGAGAAGTGTGTGTGTGTCTGTCTGTCTGTCTGTCTGTCTGAATCTACGTATGTGTCTGTATGTATCTGTGGGTATGAGTCTGTATATGTATGTATGTGTATGAGTGTGTGTCTGTGTGTGTGCATGTATATCTGTGTGTTTCTGTCTGGGTGTCTGTATGTATGTCTGTGTGTGTCTCTGTGTGTCTGTGTGTGTGCATGTTTGTCTTTGTGTATCCATGTGAGTATATGTATCTGTATGTATATGTGTGTAATTGTGTATGTATGTATATGTGTGTGTATATATGCTTGTGTGTATACGTTTGTGTGTGTAATGTGTGTGTAATGTGTGTGTATGTGTGCATAATTGTATGTGTATGTATATGTGTGTATATGTGTGTATGTATATATGTATGTATGTATATGCATGTGTGAATAACGTAAGTGTAATATGTGTGTATATATACTCTCACTCTTGCTTATTTAATAAAGACTTTAAAATACTCACTCAAGGAGACAGTTTTGACGCACTCTTTATAAGAAGAAGCTACACCCCAGGACTTATCATGGCAGAGTGTGGCTCTGTGTGATATATGAGCAGAACTGAGCTGAAGCAATAGAACAAAGAACAAGCCTGTTGGTGGGGTAGAACAATAAAGTACATCACCTCTGTGTCTCTCTCCCTCCACCCCTGCCAATCCCTCGCTCAGAAGAGCGTATCGTACAAGTCCATCTTCTGTTTTCTATATTTTTATTTTACCTAAAATATTCACATCTTATTCAACAATCTTTATCTTAGATTATATGTTTTACTTGCTATATTTAAACTATATCTAAGAATCTACAATTTAAATTTGTTATGTGAGAATTTGGGCAACCATTACTAGCTAATAGCTGTTTCAAATCATCCATTATTTCCCTTGAGTCCTGACATTTTGGCTGAATCCTGGGCCTTGTGATGCTGCCTCTGTCTTTGTCAGTGAGTCTTGTTCTTTTTCTAGGGAATCCCAGGCCACCCTGGGCCTCGTGGGCTGGCTGGTTTACCAGGATGCAATGGTTCTAAGGTATGTCCTGTTTGCACAGATGGTCAGTGACACTGTTGCTGAATGAATAAGTCAAGGTGAAGCCAGACTGAAATGGAAGTCAACTTTCCAGAAACATTCTTTTAGTCAGGACCCATAGCATGATTTTGAGTAGAAATTACTTCCTTTCTCCTTCCATATAGTTTTAAGAGAGTTTTTCAGTCAGCTCCCTCAGACTCTCAACTACCTGCATCAGTGGTTGTAGATATCCATCAGGGACTAAAGCTTTGAGTACAAAGTTAGTGTCTGGAAAGGAAAGTCTGAGACTGCAGGGCCCACTCGCCACTTGTTTGTCCTAACTAAGCCCTCTTCTTCCCTAAAACAGTAGCCACGAGTGAAATAATTACTAAAGTTTCAAGAAGCGGCAATTAAAAAGTTCTTGGCACAATTAGGCTGCCATTTATGCACAACTTGAGAAGCAGTGGACCCCCATCTTATTCACAATTAAGATAATGGAGTTTTGGCTCTCTGCCTTCCGATCAGTAGCCATCAGGAATTTGAATTGGTTTGCCTAGATTTGTCACTGCAAGGTTGAGGGAAGAGACTGGGATAGCTATTAGCTATTCTACCACAACTAAGAGTGCTGACAAACTTTCCATGTCTTCTAGGGTGAACAAGGATTCCCAGGCATTCCGGGTACACCAGGCTATGCAGGACTCCCAGTAAGTCTGCATCTCTAACTCCATATCACAGGCATAGATTATGAATGAAAGTAGTCCATTCCATGTACTATGAACACAACTCTCAGGATATGTGGAGGGCTAAAATATTACCAGACACAAGAAAGAAAGAAAGAAAGAAAGAAAGAAAGAAAGAAAGAAAGAAAGAAAGAAAGAAGGAAAGAAAGAAAGAGGGAGGGAGGGAAAGAAAAAGAGAGAGAGAAAGGAAGGAAGGAAGGAAGGAAGGAAGGAAGGAAGGAAGGAAGGAAGGAAGGGAGAGAGGGAGAGAGAGAAAGAAAGAAAGAAAGAAAGAAAGAAAGAAAGAAAGAAAGAAAGAAAGAAAGAAAGAAAGGTGGGGAGTGGAAAATGAATTATAAGATCAAGTTTAGAAATTAAGACTTTGTTTTACCTTTGACATATCTACATAAAGATGTGTAACAAGCATACTGACTGGAGGAGAGGATATGAAGTCAAGATTCTAGCACTTCAGAGTGAATTCGAAGAGAACAGGGATTTAGATGTCAGACTTTACTCCAGCATGTAACTTCTAAGCCAAGGGAATGAACAGGGAAAGGAGAAAAGTGCTAATAGCAGAGAGAAAACCAGGAAGAGTGTGGTATAGACACCCTGAGGAAGATGTACTTCAGTGTAGAATGGGGCAGCCCAATGCTACCAAAAAATCTAATAATGCAAGGAATGGTGTCTTGGTCTTAGCACCATGAAGTCGTTGCTGACCTTGGAAAGCGACATTTCCATGGCAGGAAGGAACAGGGTGGCTTATCTGGAAGTGAGGAACGGGTGGGAGAACAGGATGCAAACTTGCAGGCAGGATGAGAGAGAGACTGGCAGTACTGGATGAAGGCAGAAGATAATGAAGAAACCATTGGAAGCCGGGATGTGGAAACGGGAGCATGTTAAAAAACGACTCGAAAGAATATTATGGGGCCAAGAAGCAAAGTATCAGAGTAGGGACAAGGTCAAGGGTGTGGATTTGCTCATCCTTTAGAGGCTAATATGTTGCCTCTTTCGTAGGGTCCTGATGGCTTGAAAGGACAAAAGGTGAGTCCTTTGTCAACTACTGTGATTGAAGGTCTCTGACCATACATATAAAAAGGACTCCAATTAATTAATGAAATATAAACATTACAAACAGACATCATAAACCAGGTCTTGGTTTTAATAATTCAGATGCCACAGAAATTAGAACACAGCAGTTTCTCCCGTTGAGCAGTTCCTCTGGCTGTTGTTACAGATAGGTCTGAGGGCCAATTTTGAGGAAGGAGGATCTAGGGGAAGGGAACTGATCTCATGTTCGAGACTCCATGTTCTAGGTCAAGAACTGCTACCAATTTGGGTGTCTTGGGAAATGATTTATTATTCCTAATCCTTCCCTCCTGTCACAGTAAGTTGTTAGTTTTAAAACTTAGTACAAAAGAGGGAGGAGGGGCTTGTGAAGCCCATCCCTACCAGAGGATCTGTAAGCCGCTAATGGTTGTTGAGGAAGGAGAGACATTTTCCTCAGTAGCAGTATTCTTGCTCTATTAAAGGCCCTTCAGTCATGGTCATCTAAGAAACCTTAATTAAATTCACTGGCTCACTACACACTACACACACACACACACACACACACACACACACAGAAAAAGAAAAGAAAAACATGAAAGTATGGGGACATATAATCAGCAGCAGGGGTGTGAGAAGGATGGGGTAGTGAGGGGTAAATATGAATTGTATATGCATTATATATATACAACTACATAAATGTCATAATGAAACACATCACTGTGCATAATTTATAAATTTTTTTTACAAATGCAATTTTGAAAATACTTCTCCAAGTACATACCTTTCCCAGACCCTTTCATCTTTGAGGGAGTTTGACCTTCAATAAGTGTTTATGGGGGATTTTGAAAAATATAAAGTTGATTAGTGTTGATGACTGTCTCTGCTTTTAAGGGTGAGCCCGCTCAAGGAGAAGACGGGGAATTCTATGGAAAAGGTGACCCTGGGCCTCCAGGGGCTCCAGGCTTCCAGGTACAACACTCCCAGAAGGAGTGTTCAGTCATCTTCATCTTCATCCTCAGATTCTCTCTCCCTCCCTCCTCTCCTCCCTCCTTCCTTCCCTTCAATTCTCTTACCTGCCAGCCTCTTTTCTCTCTTCTCTCCCAATCTACAGTCTCTCCCACCTCGGGTGTTGTTCTAACGCTGACCTCATTAGAAGGAACATGTTGTTATGCAAAAATGACATTGTGTGTCCTTTAATTTCTTCTTAAGTCTCTGTCACTCAGCTCCTAAGGATCTTCAGAAAAGAGTACTGCCTGCTCTGTATTCATTGAAACCAAGGATGGGCAGACACCATGAATCGACTACCACTTAAAACTGGAGTGTTAAAGAACACCCTGGTTTCAATATTTACACATTATTTTAAAGAGCTTTATTGAAATGTAGCTCCTTCCCCTTGAACACTGAATAGTTTGCTTCACCAGTTCTTCTGTAGCTAGCCTGGAGGTGTTCCATAATAGATCCAATGAGACACAGCTATTTGGGGGTTGTGTATATTTTGTGATTCAGAAGGCCCCTTAGGTAGATATATTCTATAACTTAACTTAGCTCAGAATTAATGGTGGAAATCTCTGGAAGAGATTATATATTTGCCTCAGTAAATTAGAGTTTCAGTTGAAGCTGTGGATGTACTCATATGGTGACCCAGGCTAACAGGTGTAGGCTGTGACATCTGACTAGGAGCATAGGAATGTGGCTAGGGGCTGGGATAGGCTTCTGAGAGAGACATGGAAAAGGATGGCTTTTCATCCTTTGCTAAGGAATCAATCATGCAGAAAGGAGAGTAGTGACCAGAAACATGGGTATCTCCTGTCAGTGTCTTCTGTGCACTATTTACTGGGCAGGGGCTGAAGATAGTGCTATGCATTTATGTAAAAAGGTTTCTTAAATGCCAGTTATATGGCAGGATTATTTCTAGACTCCAGGGCCCAGATCAGCCAAAAAAAAAAAAAAAAAAACCAGTTCTAAAACTTCTTGTTCTCTCTACATTCTAATGAGTAGACAGAAGAAACGTCAATCAATAACTGTACAGTGTGTTACACAGTAATAGTAATGAATGCTGATCAGAAAAATAATGTAGGGAAGGGAGGTAGAAATATCAACCTGGAAGAAAACCTTTGGATAGACTGAGAAGGAGCCCAGGGCTCCAGTGGCAGTCAATTAACCGGAGACGCTGGTCCAGAACAGAGGACACCGTTCTGAGAGGGTCAGTCACAGGGGTAGGAGGTGGAAAGAAGTGTGGTACATAGATAGAAGGAAAACTAGGCAAAAGAAATGCAGGAAAGGACAGCTCTAAAGGAGAAGAAACACAATTGTCCAAATACAGGAAGGGAGGGAAAGACAAGGAGGAGAAAGAAAGAAAGAAAGTATGGGGGGAAAAAATCTCTGAAAATTGCCCAAATTAAGAAGCATTACTAGACATGCCCCTGTATTCAGTAGCCTCAGATGTCCCAGCCACCTGTATCCAATAAGTTTGGAACTTACTGTCATCATTTGCAGTCACTTAGAGGATAGAAAGTAGGCTCTTATGATTTCCTTAATGCCTTACTATGTCTGACTTTGGCATTAATAGACAAGTACATTAAATTCATTCTTTTCTGTAACTTCAAGGGTTTTCCAGGACCCCCAGGTTTTCCAGGGCCTGCCGGTCCACCAGGACCTCCGGGATTTTTTGTGAGTATGAAGTGAAGGCTAATATGCACATTGGTGATAGCAGATGTTTTAGAGCATCTCTGGCTGGCCGAGAGTCCTTCTGTAACTCTTATTTCCGGCCTTTTCTAGGGCTTGCCAGGAGCAATGGGACCCAGAGGACCCAAAGTAAGTCCAACTTTCTAATTTGTAACAGTCAGAGCATCCTAGCTAGGCCTTCTTTGAGTGGACCACAGTGGGTATCTCCCTGGGAAAACAGGCGGGACAGGACCCGTAGCCATTAAATCCCTGACTCGAACAGTAGAAGAAAGCAAGAGTTTCTAACATATTTCTGGTAACTGCTTCATCTCATCAATTCTTGCAGGGGGCTGCTTTGCAAAATCTACATGATCTATGTGACTAGATGAAAGTTGATTTCGTTGTGGTCTTTAATCTGGGCACTTTAGATGTTTCTATTTATAATTCAAGCTGTAGTTTCAGAATAAAAATATTGATTGGGGCTGAGCCTCACCAAGGAACTAGAGTATACTAAGCACAATGTTTCTTACTAGTATTAGTGACCCGATGTACAGGACACTTCCCAACGGGCTTTCACATTTATTGCTTCATTGTCAGATGCACACAAGCAGTCTCTCTGTCTCTCTCTCATCTATTCCACCCTTGGCTTTTCTGACGTTAATTTCAGAATGTTGACATTCAGTTACTCATCTCTCTTATTTTTAGCATGACAAATTAGGGCATCAGGAACTGAAGCAGCACAGGAAGTTAGGTAGCCAGGTAGTTAAGGGCTCACCAATAGCCAGCCAATGAAATCAAAACCAGACAGTGGGTTAGTTGGAAGAATTCTCTCTGGCTGGCTTCCATTCCTCATCCCCAACACTTATACCATCCGTTATCCTCAGTGAGTCTCTGGTTTCCTGTACCTGGAAACCACCACTTTTAAAAGAAACACATTGCAGTTCTGTAAAAATAGTAACATAACGTTATAATTTCAAAACTAAGATGAAACTACAAGTCTTCCCTTACAAGGACTGGAACTTTAATGAGTTCTAATTATTCATATTTATCTTTTGAACATAGTGGCTGTGTGCAAAGGTGTAAAGTAAAGAAACTGCCAATAAGACTGCTCCATTATTTGGGGGGAAAGCGTTTATTCTGTATAACAGAGAAAAATATCCAAAGCATCTGAAAAAGTCCAGAGCAGAGAAAAAAATAGCAGACTAGAGAGCTCTGGAGAGAATAGTGAATACAGTAAGATAGCAAGAGATAGCTGAGGGGAAAGAGAAAAAGGAAGGATGGAAGAAGCGAGGGGGGGCGTGCGTGTGGTGGGGGGGGAGGGAGGGAGGGAGGGAGGGAGGGAGGGAGGGAGGACACAGGATGCTTTGTCTTTATAGAAAAAAACAGGTATCTGGGAGGAGGAAAGCCTGGGGAGGCGAGAAGGGCCAGGACTATTGTGGGGGCTTTAAATAGCAAGCACTTATGAGAAGGGACTGAGGGAGCCTGAGGCATGGCTCTGATATGAAACCAGGGGTGCATGTCCATGGAGCCATATGTCCCCTTCTGGGGAAATGACTCCTTTTGGGGACATTTCACAAGTCCTTAAGGGATGCTGGCTTCTGTCTAACTTTCAGAAATTCTTCTGTAGTCCAGCTTGAACTTATTTTTAGACATAGAAACTTCCTGATACCTAACAGTGGCATCTCATGTTTTCTTACAGGGTCTCATGGGCGATAACATGATAGGACAAAAAGGAGAAAGGGTATGTTTTAGTGGCTCAGAAGGTCTGAGCCCCCCAGTGCATTTACCTCGGGTTTATTCACTGGCCATGTTGAAATGAGCACTTTCATTTGTTATTTGCCATGTGTAAGACAGAAAAGACCTTTGAGAGAGTGGAGCTGATGATGCTGGGGTGATGCTGGGGATGATGCTGGGGATGATGCTGGG